GAGAATAAGTGCTTGGTATTTCCTGTCTCCATTAACAGTTATGTCTCCATTAACATATTTCAAGTGGTGCATGAAGAAAGGGAGCTATTGAAAAATCACAAAGCCAAGCCAAGATATTCTTTAGTAACTTAAAATGATCAGACAAAACATATTGTCATGCTCAGACACAGCTCTTCAAGGATTTTGAACATTTTTTTTCTTTCTTTGAAAGAGATTGAATAATGGTATATCTGAAATCTTACACTGCACTTCAGTTGTGCCACGATAGATAGAATTCATATTTGATATTAATGGAGCAGGTGAAACGTGAAATGATATTTCTTTAATCTTTAATGAAATTTCTGGTTTTAGCATTTAGCTTGTCTGTTCAATGACACAGAAGAGCTAATAATATCACTGTTTTTGAAGAATTCATTCACTACGGGCAGCCTGATTTTCTGAATCTGTTGCAAGCTGTTTAGGTGCTCCAATGATGCATGAAAATAATAATAATAAAAAATCCTATGTCCTTGAAGCCCAGTGATTAGAATTGGAAACGTGTAATTAAAAAAGAAAAAAAAAATCTCCCAGTAAGCCACTACCCTGGAACAGGCACGCAGTAGTTTATAAAATAAGAGTTCTACAGGAATTAGCAGGAACAACAGGCTTTCAGGAAGTCTTCAACTGAGCATGCTCCATAGCTTAGATATTCATGCTCTATAGCTTAGATATTCAACACTGAGAAATTTAATAGTGCAAACTCCTTCTTTGCTGAATGACTTTGTTGTTTTAAAATTTAAGAATTGCTTTTGTAAAACCCCATGAAACAGGAAAAGTTGCTAATGATGTTGCAAGTTTTTGTGAAGAGAAACTGATTCTTCCTCATGGGGATGTATAAGTGAGAAAATATTGTGCATGACAAAAAGCTTGCTATGAGACAGAGCATTAGCAAGAGGAGGTCCTGTGGGGACACACACACACAGTGTACCACCTCCATCCCAGCCTCTTCAGGGACAAAGTAGATTGTGGAGTCTCTTGAGGTCATTCACCTTGATTTTCCATGATTTCAGCCTAGAATTTTAATTTTTCTTTTGAGGAGGCAGTGCTGACCTTCTTAAAGCAGAGGAACACTGGAGTAGTGTCCAAAGGATGCATTTATACTTCCAAAAATCAGAGATGCTCTCCGGTACCCATTAAGGCTGGCTGGTAACGGAGCTAATATAAACCTTGGCCATTCTCCCAGCTGACTGTCCTAATAATAGAAAAGCCCTTCTGAGTGAGTAGCTAATACTGGGGATCTGCCAGACAATTTTCATTAAAAAGAGCAATTGGTGACAATATCCTTGGAGGAGACCTGCTTGTCTTCCTCAAAACACCACTGGAATGACCAAGAGGAGGCTTTTTCTCCACTCCTTTTTTTCAGTTCTTCTTTTGTTGTTAGCACTTCCCTGAAGTCTTTGATTTTTTGAGGTGTCTCCAACACCTGCTTCTCTTTGCTTTTCAGTTACACTTATTTTTTTGTACACGTAATGCTGCAAATAAATTCAGCCTCTCACCCTTTCATCAGCTCGTAGGGAAACTCCCAAGCCTCTGTGGCTGAGCTGGAAAGTAGCACTTTGTGTGGTTTGGTGTTGGCAGGTAGGTTTTTCCCCATCTGTCATGTTTTAAAGAGGACCTGGTTCTCTTCTTCCATCCAGCCTGAAGGGAGTGAAACCAGGAGGGCAGACAGTAAACTCAATAGGTGGTGAACAGAGATAAGATGTGCATGAGGCACTTGCAAAAGCCACCAGTGTGTAACCACGTGGGCATTGAACCACAGCTTGATAACACCAGTGTGAACATTAGGGCTTGAGAAACCTTGAAAAGACAATTGGACCATGTTGTGATGAAAGGAATATACCATTTGTAAAGTAGCCTTGTCTTGGGCTGTTCCAAGGATCAACATTGCTCGTAGTGCAGTCTGGATTTCCCCTGACCTGTCTGTTGCTGCAAGGCAGGACGCCCATGCCCTGCTGAATATCTGGGAGGTTGGGGTTGCTTCCCCAGGGACTAATGCCATGGGGACCTTCCCCAGCTGCAAATGGGTTTTTTGGGGTCCTTCTGCATTGTTGCGGCTCTTCTGCCAGCACCAGGCAGAGGTTGAAGAGCTCTCCCCAGGCTTTTCAGTAAATGTTTCCCTCCTGATTTATTAAGATCACCTTGAATTTTAATTTGCAGAAAATATGTCTATCAGTAGCACCCACAATCACATTTTCTGCTAAAGTCTTCAGATGTGACCCAGAAATCTTATCAGAGAGCACTGGGCAGAGTGCCTGCTTAGCAAAACCTACCACAGGTACATCTGGGTGCTGCCATTTACAGGATATCTGAGCTGTGCCTCAGCTATTTCAGATGACATATATATATTTAATCCATGGCAGCATATTAGCAGATCAGACTTAGATTAATCAGGCTAAAGATAACTTTTGGACCTTTTCCACATGTAGGTCAGAGAAAAAGAAGGTAGATATTTATCTGTGCTACAACGCTAGCTTGCACTGTGTAGCAGATGAAATTTTCAGGGGCATCAGTCAAAGAAATGCTGTAATAAGATTAAAGGAATCAAAGTGAACAAGGTTTGCTTGTGTCTGTATGTGTGTGCACAAATGCCATACAAGCTTTTCAATTTGCAGAAACTATCAATTTCCAGTTAAATTATCTCTGCTATTATAGCAGCAAATATGCAAAGTTCCTTTATATTAAAATATCTTCCTCTGTTTCCTTAGTGTAATAAAACAAGTCCTGCCCACTGATATTATTACAGAAAGCTACAGCTGGAATAACAGCACAGCTGTTCAAGGAAAAACTCACTGCATGTCAGGAATGGGCCTCATGTTTTAAACCCTGGTGATTCCTGGAATAAGTCAACTAATGCAAAGGAATTAATTCCTTTAAAAATAGATTAGGTCACATTTAGAATGTTTAATGTGAACTGTTACTGTATGTATTAATGGAGCACTTCTTTTCTGCAGATTAAAAACTGAGCTAGTGTTAATAAATCAAAGGAACCATTAAAATGCTCTGTAGCCTCTACCAATGTCCCTTGGAAAAGGCCTCTGAAACACTGTTATACACACAGATTCTAATGAGAGGAAAAATTAATTCAAATTTTAAATGTTCTTTAGCAAATTCTTTATTTTTGACCTCACTTACTGCACTTGCAACATCAGAAAGATCAGTGATGAAACCTCTGATTGTGGTAATTCAAAGAAACTGTCACCAGGCTCCAAAGTGAGAAGCAAATGTGCCACAACAGCAGACAGCTAAGATGTAGGTTGAGACCTTGCCCATACTGAAACTTTCACCATCAACCTGTAACAATGTGAATTACATCCAAGGTCAGCATAAAAGTTTCTTTTGGTTTGACTTCAGCTACTACAAGAAAAAATTGTCAAGAAAAGGATACTTTTTTTTTTTTTTGGCTTTGCTTCATTCATAGATTAGTGGGAAATTCTTGTATTCTTCCAAGCAGATAACATGCTTTCAGAGCCCTATTACATGTAATGTAATACATATGTAAGGGCAACCCAATTTTCCTTCAGCAGGCAGCTCTTTCTGCTCTTGTTTTTTAAGCTAATGACTCAGTAACAGCCCTTCTCTTCACCCCTCTGAAGAGCATCTTTGGTAACCCTTGTTAGAAACATCACTGATGATGTCCCTCATCTCTCCCAGAGGACAGAGTTCATTAGCTTGTTACAGGAAGAATGCACTCACTCTCCTTTTCTAAAGGTTAATTAGCTCATTATAGACATTTGTCCATGCTGTTCTCATTGGTCTCCCCCAGATGCAGCCATGCACAGGTCCCTTTCAAAAGCCAAGCAAAGGCTAAAAGAACACCTTTAGCCACGCAGAGGCAGGCTTCTTCATTTCCAGACTCCTGCCTTTTTATAACATCGCTGCCTGACAATGAAGAGAGAGGAGGAGGTAGTGTCTCCAGTGTGGAATAAGTGACTAGTGCTCTCATTTTTTTAACTGGAAAACCCTCTCTCCAGTTCCACATGCAACATTATGACTTCTTCCTGTTTGGAGCATGTGCCCTATCAAGTCTTTTCCTGGAGGGTCTTCATTTTTATCATTGCACCCAGCAGATGAAACAGAAAATATTCTGTCAATACATATTTTAGACTTGACTCATCTTTGATGAGTTTTGCCCCCTCCTGTTAGTCTGATCTGGGGTGGGGTCTGCTCTTGTCCCCACCACTGCTCTGCTCTGTGGCCATTACTGTCGCCATTACCAGCCCACTTCCCATCCCTGGGAGTCCCCTTTCCTCGTTCCCCTTGGCTGGTCCTGCCCAGGGGCCCTGTACTGGGCACAGTAGGATCTCACCTCAGGCCAGGCTTGCAGAGCAGCCCAAGATGGTGTCTGTGTTGGCTGTCTCATTCCCACATCTCCCCACTGCCAGCACCCTTGAGCTCCCTTTCTTCTTGCACTTTGCCCCTCAAATCCCTCACTGCATTCTTCTGGCACCTGGGTCAGGGAAAAACAGGCAATGCCCAGGCTACTGGGCATATCCCCACACAAAGGTCTTTAGCACCGCTGCAAATACCAATAATACCAATAATACATTGGATTTACTTTCTGTTTCACACATTGTCATAGCTCTTTTCTCTTTTTGAACTGAAGGGAAAGTGGGGAAGAAGTTCTTTCAGTGCTGTAGTGTTTCTCAAACTATTTCTGCAGCCACAACTGCAACCCCATTGAACATCTCAGGGGGTGGGACAGGCTGAAAGGGGTCTCTGAGCTTCACTGAAATCAGGTTCAGCACCCACAACATGGTCAGCTTCATAATGTGCTGTAAACCTAAACTGTGAGCCCAGAGGGTCTTCTGGCATCCTTGCACATGTGGTCCTTCTCCTACACCACTTATTGGTGATGCATCCTCTCTACCCTGCTCTCGTGTACCCGCTTGGGAGCCTTGGGGTGCTGGGTAGTGACCTTCAAAACTATTCATCAAGGACATGTCTGGCTTGCTGTGTTCCAGAGACCCTTTGCAGCAGGCAAACAGGACTTGCAGCTGACAGAAGGCATTTTGCCAGGAGCCAAGGGATAAAGATGTGATTTCCAAACATGTCCAGCCAGGGGCCTGACCCTGTGATGTCAAGGGTTGGACTCTTCATCACCTTAGGGAAAATGGATTCATGTCAAAGCAAAGGTAAGGTAGAAATCTGTGAATCCTTCAACCCCTCTGTCTAAAGGCATTTTCACTACACATAATAAATAATAATAATATAGTAATGGCCAGTCTTCGTGAGCGAAGATTTGGGAAAGGTCATTAACCCTTCGAGCCTGCGCAGTGGATTTTTTAGGTGAGACACAGCGTGCGCTGAACTGAGCCCACCCTTTAATCCTGAGGTTCATCTGCCGGGGCCAAGCAAGCTTGGACAGTGGCAGTGAGGGTCTCAGAACGTAGGTTTGTTTAGAGTGACCTTCTCTTAGATGGATTGCCTTACAGGGCTGACGAGCTCCATCTGCCCGGGGGGCTGGGAATAGAACCCGGGTCGCAGCGGTGAGAGTCCTGCACCCTGACCACTAGACCACCAGGGGCCCCTTTCACTACACACTGCTAAGGAATATATTCCCCCCGTTCATATATTCCCCCCCAGTTTTGCTGGTTTTCCTGTGGAACAAGGAGGGATTAATCCAGCTGCCATCTTCCTGAAACGGCACACACTGTACACCATCCCCACAACAGGAATCCACTATGCTGAAAATCAGATTCAGGCCTTATGATAATCTGAAGAAGCTGTTTTTGAATCAGTTATACAGCTGTTCAGATGACTAGAGAGGATGTTGTATAATTTGTCCCAGTAAAATCCCATTTTTTAGCACAAGTAAAATGTGGTCAGGATCCCCAATATTCACTACTTTCTTATGAATATTGCCTCACAGCATTTCTCCATAACAAAGATATTAATTTAGCATATTTGTTTCAGCGGCAACTTAAAGAACTGAGTGTATGCATTTCACAGAGTCAGTTTTCCTAATTATTATCTGACATGTTTCCTAATTATTTTGACTCAAGTTTCTATTCCTTCTGAGAGGATACTGCAAAGAGATAATCCACTCTAAATATTTTCCCTCCCAGATTATTTCTAGTTCTTAGTGTTGGAAACTGATCCTTCATTAGGAACGGATCTAGAAGCTACTGAAGTTTGTTTTTTTTTCCCGTATGCTTTCAGTGAGCACTGTACTGGATTTGAAAGTAAATTGAATTGATGAATTTGTCTGGAAATGGTGAAACTTCTCTTGTTCTGCAGCTTAGCCCTAAATGTGATGACATTTGACATTTGACTTGCAAAAGGAGCAAAGGTATCTTCAAGAGGCATAAAAATCTTCTTTTTCTCTTCATGTTAAACTAGAGAAGATTAAATTTTAATGCAAAATCTGTAAGGGGCATTTATGGAGAAAGCATGTCCTCGCTCCGATTATTTTCCCAGGCAGAAGTTCCTCTAGGCAGCCTTTGGTTTTCTAGTTTTCTACAACATTTTAAGACACAAACTTCTATGTCAAAAATAATTAGAATAAACTACTTTCAAAGTCTGGAAGAAACTAACTTTCCACAGATACTATCTTATAGATAACGAAGTACTATATTATAAATAATGAAAATTAGTATATTAAACAAAGTTATTTTCATAGCACTTTGTGTAATACAAAGCTCATTCTTTGTACAAAGCTTTTGTTTCTTTGTTCCTTGCTGTGTTCTAATTTCAAAGGAATAAGGATTAGAAAACTGTGCATATACATATCATCCACACATGAAATATATTTTTTTGTGTGTTTAGAAATATATTTCCAAATACAGAAATGTCATAATTGGACAGAGTCAGATCTTTTGAAAAGTTCATGGAATGTGACTTCCAGGTGCAGATGCAGACTCCTGTTGCTGAGTCAAAGATACCAATTCAGCCCAGTTAGAGTCCTTTCCATTAAATGCCCACGCCTTTTCAAAGCTTAGTTACTGATTCCTCCACAATGTTTTTAGTAATGTCAGCTACGAAAGGCTGTAAGTTTTGGCTGGTGCTTCGTGTTTGGTCAGCAGCTCCTGTGCCACCAATGTCAATGGCAGCTTTAGACAAAGATGAAGAGCTGTAGTAGTCCAGCCTTCAGTAGAGAAACATTATTTTTCCATCAGCTCTTTCCTTTCAGTATCTCGTTCTGGGAAAGAAGGGAATCAAAGTGAGAAAGTCTCAGTGTCTGTGGATGAGGTTCACCCTTACTCCTCACACCTCTGTAGTGCATGAAAAAATCTGCCTCCAGAAACATTGTGTAACCTGGAGTTCTCCTCTAGCCTTTATGAATGCTGATATCTCATATCAGATATCCAAAAGCCTCTATTGCTACACCATCTTTCACCTTTGATTCAGTAAATCACAAGTGATGGCTCTGCTACCTAAAAAAAAAAATGGGAAAAAAAAAGCAAGAAAGAGTAACAAAGAGAGATCTCTCATCTCATATTTCACTTTTTTTTTTCACTTTCCTCCTAATGCAGTAAGGTTTTTTTAAAGATCTGCTTTATCAATTAGGCTTTATTGCAGCCCCTGACAGCATCTATCCAATGAGAGATGGCTAAACCTTTCTCCTTGAGTACTGAACCTCTCAGGTCCAGCCTGTAACAACAGGATGCCAATGACCTGACTGGATGCTGCTTCCTTTAAAGACATGCTTAAAGCTTTTTAAGCTTTCTTGATAAATTAGAAGTCATGGTAATTATTTTATAGCTAAATGCAAGTAGTTTAAATGCCCTAGGGCTTAATTTTATCTTACCAGCTAGAATTATAACATGTAGGTTTTCCAATATGTCTGGAAGCTCTTCAGAATTAATCCTGGGTCTCTCTCCTTCCATCCCACTGTGTCTCCTGTTTCATAAATGCTGTTTGTCTGGGATTTATTTTCTAAGTCATTCTTTTTCTTCTTGCAATGGTGTCTTGAAATGAAACTGCTTTAATTCTGCTGCTTCCTTGAGTGCAAGGTGACCATTTTTTGAGTCTGGTTTCTCTGCTAACCATACTGAGAATTTGCTTAGGAAGGCCTCCTTCTGTAAGTCCTGCTATTCCTTGTTATTTGACATTTTATCTGCAGGCAGTTTTTTGGCCAGTTTCTGGTGCCAGCCAAGATCTTTGAGAGAACGTTCTTGAATAGTCATCCGGTATCAAACCACCTCTATGCAAGACAGTTCACAGGCCACTAAACAGGATGCTGAGAACTCTTTTGTATCATGTGGCCATTCCTAATTGTTGTGCTCAGTGGGCCTTGTCCATTGGCATGCATCTTTTGTATCTAAAATTGAGTTAGATAATTTCAAGATTCACAACTAATTGACTAATTGGCATAAAGTCATAATTTCTCTCTTCAAAAGAGAGAGAGACAGAGACCTATTTGAAATTTGTGCACCGATTATTCTCATGAATGGACCAAAGTTTACATACAGGTCAACAGCAGAGCAATCTTCCCATGGATGCTGTTAGCAAACCTCAAATCTGATCAGCAAAATATTTTAGTGAACTATTTAGTCAGTGCTAATAGCCAAGCACTGCAAAGTGAGCAGTTGAATTTGTAGTGGGGGTGCTGGAGTCACATGAGCTTCACCACAGAAAGGGAAATACGGATATCTATCAGCTGAGAATAGTTTTGCATTCCTATTGCAGTGGTCTGTGGTCATATGGGGGAGCTATGAGCAATAGGCTCTGACATTCTGACCTCTGGACACTGAGGATTAACACTAATCATGGCATTGCACCTTCATTTGAAACTGGAATGAGTGACTAGTAAAAGTGAGTTCTGAATGTTTATCTACCAGTGAAGGCTCCCAACTTCCCACACAAACACAGTTTACAGCTGGCTATCCTAACCTTGCTAAAGCTCATGGGACTAGGATTATGTTGGGGTTTTCCTCTACTGTTCTATCCATTAATCAACTACTGTTCCACTTTAAAAAGAAATAAAAGCAAATCTGATACTACAAAAACTGCAAATACTATGATGCTTAAATTTGCATCAGAAACTTGTTTTGCCAAGCAGAATATTTAGGACAGTTGTCTTGAGTTCCCCTTTCTGGGGGTATCAGTCACATCTGGATCCACGGTCTCAAAGAGGTGGAAGTGACTATGACCAGTTCCATCACAGGTGTAAGTGACAGAAGAGTCCACAGATCTAAGGAGAACCATTAATTTACGTAACTGTTTGAGAATTGGTTGTCAAGACCTCTAGATTCTCTCTCCTCTCTTAGAATGAAGTCTGGTAGTTACAGGCAGCCAGGTGGAGAGAGATGGGGACACAGACACAGACACTCAGACACACAAATACAGGCTCAGACAGGCTGTGGAACCTGTATCCACAACCTTTCAGCAGAAACTTTTCCAGGAGTGAAAGCAGAGTGAGAAGTGCTGCAGGTACAGTATGCCTCTGTACCACTTCTCACTAGGGGAGTGGGAAAAAATGTCTGTACTGGGCAGCTCTGCAGATGTGTGTTTTGGCCACACAAAGGAAGACCAGAAAACTGAATGCAGTTTAATTCGCTTTTAAAGTATTGGTCATTACCATGTCTATAAGAGGCACCTGCCATAGACCATCTCAGCATGTCCTTCAGCTCACCAAAGTGATAAAGCTGTAAGAAGGTCAGGGGAAAGTTTAGGGTACCTCCAAGTCAGGCACAGCATGTGTGAAGCTGAGGTGTGCTTCTTGCCACGCAGGGATGCTTGAGTGGGGAGCAGTGTGCCTCCTCCCAAAGGCTTGGCTCAGCACATGCAAATATTCTACAAATTCTCACATCATATCTTAGCCACACTTCTGACTCAGTCCTTGATGTACTCCCGGGGGCTGCAATAGCCCCTTTGCTGCAGGATAGATAGCAAAATGTGGCGTGCTAAGCCAGGTCAGCAGAAGGATGCTTTTCACCCTCTTTCTGCTGACAGAGCGGTGGAATACCTGGGCTGTGGCACAAACAGCTCTGCTGCTGCTGCTCCAGCAAATGAAGAAAAGAGTAAAGAAATATTAGTACCACATTTAGCTTTATTGAAATTGAACAAATACCTTTTTTTAATAAACCCTTTTACAGCAAGTGTAAAATTTTAATGTTTGACTCATCTTATGTTACAGGTTGTCTTCTTCCATGTAAGCAAAAATACCATCTTTTTTTTTTTCTTTTTTTTT